TTCAATTGGAAATTCCGACGCGTGTAGCGGATAACGGATTGGTGTCTTCTTCTTCCTTTTTTCTTCCTCTTTTGTTTTTGTGCTTTCTTTCCTCTTCTCTTCGAGACTGCAAAAATTCACGAGCGCTGCACAATATCGAAGAGGGAAGGGAAGGAGAGGGGGGAAGGAGAGAGAATAAATCGCAATGCGCGTTTATGTAAGGATATGCTAATATTGTTTGTTGGCATTTACGATAATCTGCATATCTGTCTAAACCATGATGTATAAAATCATCGTAATAGAGTCTGTTTTCGCGGAAAGCAAGTAGTTTTATGCGGATTGTATAGTAATTGAGAATGTGGCTCTACGTAATAAATTAGTCCCGTTATGGCGGGTCATTAGGGTTATGATGTTTATGACTTGGCGTGTATTTAAAAAAAGAAACGTTATATATCTAATATGTAAATCGAATAATACACCATGACAGTTTGAAGCAGCAGCGATATTAGCGATCACGTTGTTGTCTCAAACTTCTTTGGAAGGTGCGTCGTCGATTCTCGCTCCGAGGTATTTCGTCAAGACTAATATACCGGCTCGTGACGCCATCGTCCGCGCAAGCATGCTTGTACTTAAACCGTCAAACTCTTTCGGCATTAGTATCAGTCTCGTGTTAGTGACCTCGGAGTGTCAAGAACTATGATGGATAGACTCGCGCGGTAGCAAGACACATGGAGCGAGCACAAGCCCCCGGGATTGTACTCGGAGAACATCGGCTCGCGGTCCTTTCTGCGATAGGCTGCCCGTCACGACCGACGGGAAGAAATTGACGTGATTCCCTCCGAGATAATCCTCGTGTCTTTCGTTGTACGCCTCATTGCCGCGGCAAAATTTTACTCGGCACAAACGAACCGTAGTGGAGGAGATCCTTCATCTTCTATATGTGTTTATCCGTCTGGTATATAAATTATTCCACGGCGGCCGAATACGCGGAATGTCTCAGATTTGTCGAATATTTCACAGAACAAACTCTCGCAATTCCTCCTCGTCGCGAGCGCGAAATTTCATCCCCCGATCACGAATTAATCCCGTTCTATTATCGCCGGGAAAAATCAAGCGAACAGTGAGTAACGTCTACGATTTTCAAACAGGAAATTCAGCTGAGTTTTTTAGTTGATGCAAACTTTTAATTCTTTTTTTTTCGCGACGATCGACAGCCGCGATGCGAATCCCATTACGTCGCCAGCAATAAGATGACGTCGAAAGATTACGACGGCAACATCGCGCCGCGACGTCGTCGTCGTCGTCGAAACCTCGCGATATTTGAGATGCGACGTCGCGATATCCATCGGGACAAACCTTAATTTCCAAGATATATCGCCGTCTAAACACAGACGCGCTCCACCGCGCCGGACGCGGCCGATACACACGCGGCAATTACTCATCCCGATGGTTTTAATGAAATCGGCTGTGATTTAGCGTTATAGAAAACTGGTAGGTGCGCCTCGACGCGCGAGCAGAAACGCGCTCGGGAGCGAGCGAGCGACACGAGCAAAAAGCTACGGGAAGGAGGACGTGACGTACGGGGACGAAATCAAAGCACACGCGAAAACCGGATGCGCAGGTGAAGTCTCCGTAATAGGGGTACTCGCAATTTACATATGTATCCACCAGCCTAGCATATACGCGCCGGTGTCGTCCTCTTTGGAACGTATCCTCGTCTACGAGCCGAACGACGACGTCCGCTCCTTCTCTCGCTCCCTTCTTTTCACCGTCCTCTTCTTTTCCGCCTCGCGATCCCGCTCGCTCGTCTCCCTTTTAACCTTTTTCTCGTGTTACCTGCTCGAGATACACCGGTCACGTACGTGCGCGTATGCGCGCACGCACGCAATGCGACGCGCGATACGTGCCGGCGATATTCGGAAATTCGGCCGGAGCCGCTTTTAGCGGTCTCATCGTGCGGCACAGCCTCGCTTTTTCTCGAGGGACGAGCGACAGGGCGGATCGACGGAAGCTTCTTCTTGCGCGTCCCCCGGGGCTGCCCGCGAGAGATCCTCGGGACGAAATTACCGGGTCTCCGTGCATTATTACGGCGGATTCGCTTGAAATGCGTTAACGAGGGATCGATCGCCGGGGATTTTGTCCGATTATTTGCGGCGATGTGCCTGCGCGCGGGTTATCATTTGAGAGCGTCGTGTATCGTAAGCTACCGTTATTAGAGCTTCATTTATTAGGCGCTCCGGCGCGGATTTCCTCGAGCGCGAGTATACAATGTGAGGAAGCCGGCGAGATTTATGTGGAATCTCATAAATAAATAAACGCGCTCGGACGAGCGGGTAGTATCATTACACGATGCGAAATTACGACGCACGAGAGGCAAAGGGCCGCGTAGCCTCGATGAATCCAAATTTCGACACACGAAAGTAACGATCTCTCTACATTTATTTGCGATAATTGGCACACGCACACGCGCAAACACGCGCGCGCGCGCACACATACACACACACACATACCGCTCGATACCCGCGGCATCGGAAATCGAACTCGCCGAAATTACGGCAGTTCCGATCGCTGCAGGAGACTGAAGTTTATTCGAGCCCGCGACTCTCGCAGATGCGCGATCGCAATTAATCCCGCGCGCATATAAGCTCGTGATCGCATGAATTTACTGCGAACGTCCAGCCATAAACATCGGCCCGTGAGAAAACGTTGCCGAAGAATAGTTTCGCGCATACTAAACGCACGCTATCGTTACGTACGCGGCGGTAGGGGAGATTCGCGAGTGAAACATGGGCGCGATACGATAACAGACCCCGGTGGATCGCATCGACAAGAAGAATAGCTTCTCGCTGCGCGGGATATTTCATCGCCGGTGAAGTCTGTGTTTGCACTTGGCTCGGGATGAAGTTTTCGCCCGGATGACCGCGCATTAATTCATTGTCTAGACGAGCGGGTATTATGCCGAGCGCAGAATCGCAGCCGCGGAATCGGCCACCATCACATTCGTGCACCCGACATTTCGCCGCACAAAAACTCACATACACGCGTGTCCGCGGCGCGTTTCGATGATCGGCTCGTCGGCCCGTTCGTGCCTGTGCAAACAGCCACCGAGGAAAATATTTGCACAGGATAACTCGGGTCCTCATTATCGGGGTGGCTGGTCTTTCTTTCTTTCTTTCTTTCTTTCCTTCCTTCTTTCTTTCCTTCTTTCTTTCCTTCTCTCTTTCTTGCACGCGCACTCAGGGTCGACGGTTGTCCAGGTGCGCGAAGAGGAACGAGGAGGAAGTAGGAGACGTAGGTAGCGCGAGAACGAGCGAGAAAGAGAGATGGAGGAAGGAGGAGTGGAAGGAGGGAGATTGATTCGACATGCATAAATTAGAGAGGATGAGGCTTTATTCCACAGCGCGACTCACGGGATCGGGATCGGGATTGGAATTGGGATGCACGGGAGAGGAGTATAAATTGATGACTGCAGGCAACAGGCAGGGGTTTATAATAATTAATCTTCGTACGTGTATACGTATTTACGACGTGACCCTCCCTACCCGCCTTCGTCGCCGGCCTCTCCCCGTCATCTGCTCCGACCCGGTGGCAATGCGCGAGATTCCCTTCTCGATCCGCGATTAAGTTTATCCCCGTCGCGCGCGGAGACAGGTGATGCGCGTACCGCGGCAGGAATTCAAGTGCCAAAGTGCAGACTTCGTGGTAAAAAATGTGTCATGAATGAGAATCGTGCACGGAGGAATGTAGTTGCGCACGATCTGGTTGCGGCAGTTAGAAATCGATTAGGGGGTGACATTTACCACGGATACCACTCTGGTAGCAAGAACCAAATATCGTTACTGCAACTCAGCAATTGTTTTGTAGTTACAGCACAAAGCCACATTATTAGTTATTCTATATTTTACTATTTCATCTGTGACAATCAGATTTATTCTGTAGGCCAATCACACTTTTTTTTGCGTATGCGATTCGACATAACGCGACCATCCACTCAATCCCCATCCGCTCTATACTAGAACCCACAGTGAAATCTAAAAATGCAGCCGCGATCGCTTAGCGCAACCGTTCATCCCGCTCCCCAATTGGCATTTGGATTCTTTTTATTCAAATTACGATCGAGTGTCGAGACGCCCGTTGTCGTCGTCGTCATCATCAAATATTTTTTTTTCTTTTTTTCCTTTTCACGGAGTCGTTCCCGTCCCGCGCGCATTCTCATGAATTTCATCATCGCGGATCATCCCCGCCAGCCGGAAGGTATTACTTCGGCGTAAAGTAACGACCGGTGACAAATATCCAGGTGGCTGAGCGCGGAGTCGAAAGCGCAGTGTGCGTATACCCTCTCTCGCGCTCTCGCAGGCGATTAGGTATCGCGATGTGCGCGTCGGCGATAAATTACCGGCGCAACTATGCGCCGCGCACGACGCACTTCCACCGCTGGTGGTCATTGCTAAATTGAGGAATCATCAGTGCGGCTTATGCGCCGCGATTATCGCTAATTGATAAATTCGATGGGTCCGTTGTAATTTATTACATTCTACCGGGCCGGTTATTTCTAACAGTTATCCCGCAGCACATTCATTATCGCGACCTTTGGGGGAGACTTTTCAAGCGATACGCCGGCGTGTCGCTTATGGCCGTCGCTAACAGCGGGAATCGCCCGTTCGATGAGTATTGTGTCGACCGCGTGAGATATGTTTCCTCGGCGACACAGCACGCTATGAAACGCAGCTGCGTGCGCGCAAGCAAGAGAATACCGGAGGCGATTCTTCTAATGACATCTTCGCCAAAGAGACAATTAGTTATTTTTACGTTCTTAGAACCGAATCTAGAATCATCAGGAGCGGAAATTCTGTTTCCTTTAACCAAAACGCATTTATTTCACATCATTATGTGAATTTAGTCAATCTTCGTGCGTAAAGTAGACGCTTTTTAGACGCGTTATCGATGATCTAATAATTCATATCAGTCACGCTTCGCGAGATTACCTGTGACTAAACGAATCCCCTCTCGTATGATTGCAGGCGACGCAGCCGCAGCGAGGAGGACACCAACGGCAACGTCGTCAGCGACGACGCGCAGCAGCAGCAGCAACAGCAACAAGGTTACGTATCGGGTCAGCGTGAGCCGGAAGAGGAGGAAGAGCTGGGGGCAGAAGAGGCGGCGGCCCAGGCGGCGCAGTCCCTGCAGAGCGGCGCCGAGGGCGCCGATCCGGAAGTCCACAAAAGGGTCGCCGCTGTGCAGGTGCAGGTGCAGGGTATGGAGGGCGACTGGCGCGCCTACTGCGAGCATCCGCTCTCCGTGGCGACTGCGGCAATGCTAAACTTGCAGCAGCAGCACCAGGTGTCGGCGGTAGCCAGCCATGGAGACGATCCCTCCGCGTCCTACGTTTATGAGTACTACAAACTACCCGAGAAAACAGCAGCGGACGTCAAGCTGCCGCCCACGCACGAGCTCTGGCCTACGTGAGTAGACTGACTTCGCCTTTTCTCGAATTTAACGTGACCCTTGACCCGACAGTAGGAAGTTTCCCGGAAAGAATCTTCGTCTGTAATACTCTGAAGCGAATGTTTCTTGAAGCGAAATTACCATCGAGTCATTTGAGTTCGAACGAACCTTCACTTATATAGAATGAACTCTCCATTCTGAATCCTCGAGTGAATATTTTCACTCGATATTGAATCTTGACGTGCTCCACCGTCTCAAGGACATATTCACTCTACTCAATGTTCCACTCCAAGAAATTTAAAGAGTCGATGCCGCTCATCTTTGTTCATTAGCTGTCATCGATCGTTTAGACTTGGAGAGAGATTGCCGGTGATTTTAAACTTAAGTGAATCTTCCGCAAGGATAAATGCGCGTCTTGTATGTCATATAGAATTGAATGGCGCGGCGTTTAAGATTGTCGCACGGATTATCGAGATAGCGTCGAATTTTTCTGAATCTCTCGCGACGGGGAATGCGCGTTCCCTCATTGTTCCGTAATATCAAGCGTTATAATGTTTGAGCAAAATTTCATGGTTAGCGAATTAATCTCTGATAAAAGGAGCTGAAGACAACGGCCGTTATTATGCACGCTTTACGCAACGCTCTCTCGCCGCTACGGAACTTCGCGCAGCATCTCCTCGCTATCTCGCTATTTCAGATTCCCATCCGCGCGTGTAAGCTTCGTAATCATACGCGAGGCCGGGAAAGAATCGCGATTTTCCACGGCTCGATCCACGGAATATAATCACGCTCGCGAATGCAGGAAGACTCCGCACACCTCCTCTCTCGCGCATTTAAATAATTCAGGAATACCCGCGCGCACGTCTCTCCCGGCTCTCGACAAGGATTGACTGGAGGTTTGCGGAGTCCGAGTGAAAAATGATCCGCGGAAAAACAGCTTTAGACGGTAGTTTTTGCCTTTCAGTGTTAAAGAGTCTCGACGCGACAGGAACGAGGAATAATATCAGTAATTCGCAGTAACTTCAGCTCGAGGGGAAATAAATTTTTCGTAAGAACGTAATAGAACGAAGTAAGTCTTCGTCGCGAAATATTAAAATCCTCGAGACGCTCTCGAGATGAGTATTCAATGTTTTTTTATTTCTTCGCGCTCCTTACACTCAAACAATACACCTTTGAGCTAATAACTTCCTCGTTGCTGTTATTATTTTCCGTTGCCGATATTATTGTTCTCGCGCGTGCAGCAAGTACAGGCGTCGCGGAAAGAGAATGCGGGAGATCAATTATTTGTTGCGGGTCACCGAAAAATGCGCGGCCTCGGTGGCAATCGCCGCAAAAGCGCCTTTCGCGCACGTAGCGCGCACGTAACTTCATGCACTCGCGCGCGGCTCTCGTCTGCGCGCGATGCACTTAATTTAGAAGCGCTGATCGCGGTGCACGTGGCCAGGCCGCGCGGTGCGCGTACGTGGCTCATCCATAAACACGTGCGTGTGCGTGACGACTATACACCGGGTGCATCGGGAGGACTCGATTAGCGTAGATCCGCAGATAGTCCCGTGTCCAGACGCGCTGCAGCGAGCACTTTCAGCGCGCCGCGCGCGGGTTATTAGCCATTCGTGTTTCGCCGTATCTCGATTAATAGTCTTGGCCGCGTAATTGAGTGCTCGCGGTGAGTATAATTCGTTACCGCAGCCAATTATGTGGGACAATCGCGTGTAAAATCAGTCGGCATAAAGAGACGTGTGACGCGTTAATTAGACGATTTGAGCCGCGTCGGGGCGCAGACTTCGTGTACTCGTTATCTTAATTGTAGGACAAACATACAAATGAGATACACACGCGAATCCGAGACTCGACGAGATATTCGGGTCCTCCCGAAATTGCCCAAAGTGCAGCAAGAAGAAAAGTCTTCTCGCTAATTAGGAAAAATCAGTTTGGATCTTCTGTTTACAACGGCACAACGTTTACCACTCAGGCCAATTACGAATGCGTCGGCGTCGCGAACGGAAGAGCGAAATGAGAAGAGCACGGACCACTCTCACGTGGGCCGCGCTATTACGATCGGAGGCCATAGTGATCGCAATTCTTCGGGAGTTTATCGATATTCCATAAATCTTTCGCGCTTAAACGAATGCGCAGCGTGCCGCATCGATAAATGGGCCTCCTCTCTTTCTCCTTGAGCGCGCGGAACCGCGAACGTTCCCGATTCCACGTCGCTCGTCTCGCATTACCACTGCGAAGCAATTTAGTGGAGTTTAGTTGGGTAGATATATTGCTTCTTCGGTCGAGCCTATTTATATCTCGCGTGCAAGTCTTCCGGTCCATTTGCTCGGTTTGCAAACTGCACCATCGCACCGGCGTTTTACGAGTGGCGCGAGAAAAAAACGAAAGAGAGAGAGAGGAGAGCGACTCTCCCTCGTCCCCGATTCGTGACGGGGGAGAGCCGCTCTCTCCTGATATTTTGGTCGTACCTGGCCGCTATGTAGCACTACGTGCACGGCCCTTACCCCTGTGTGCGCCGTGGAACACGTAGACGGAGGCCGACGGGTAAAGGACTCTCTCTCACCCCTCGGGGACCCATGACGGCCCCACTTTTGATTTATATCGGCCGCTTAGCATATTTTGTAATTTACTGTTGAGAATCCTCAACGTACGAATCGTGTCAGCCGAGGGCAGCCGTGTATGCTCCGGCGCGGTGGTGCAGCGCGAACGCGACGGCAGCAACAGCGGCAGGAACGCTCGCGCGCGGCATCAGGAACATCACCAACAGCAGTTTCTGTTACCGACCTCGCCGTGGGGAGATGCCGCCCTAATCTTCCCTCGCATCTTCTCCTTTCTCCCTGCTGCCTCTTCGTTACCTTACCTTCCGTCTCTCTTTCTCTCTCGGTCTCTTTACCTCCATCTCGCGCGCGTCGTATCATCCTATCTGCCTCTCCTACTACCTTTCTCTCCCCCCGCTGAGAGATGATAGCATCTCGACAATTTGTACGGCGGTAGATCGTTAAAACTCCTCTCTCGCTCGAGACCGTCGCGTCGCTGCGGGGGGAGAGAGAGAGGGAGAAAGAGAAGCAGCGAGCCGCCGAGCTACCAAGGGCACGACTTTAATCCAATTTCATTGTGTCGCGTTCGCTGAAGGGATCAAGCGCGTCTCCGTAACCGGCCGCGACCGCGAAAATAGGAAAAAAAGGCCGGTAAACACGAGCACGGCTCGAAGAGCGTGCAGAACGAATTCGCGTGTCCAGCGGATCTGCACGTTTTCGCCGGCCACGTCCGGGCATTTCCTTACGTTGACACGAGTGTCTGGAGATGCGTTCTCCTTGGGATTTTCCTGATCGAGACTCGAGTTTGCAATGGCGCAGAGAAAATTTAGTCACGAGATCTTCTTTTGAAGTCTCTTTGGCGAAGTTCATTTTAAGTTAAATAGACTCGTTAAATAGACATGGCTACCGGAAAACAAACTTTTGCGACGACGTCTTGCGACACGAGTCTTCAAACCTTTATGTCTCAGACAAACGCGTGCTGGCTCGTGATTGCAGGATTAAAGAGAGAGAGAGAGAGAGAGAGAGTGAAAGAGAAATCGTTTGAAACGACCTCGGATATATTTTAGAAACTTTTGTCAGCACAGAGCTGCTTTGAGCCGGTGAAAAATACGAGGCTGATTTGCGCTACAAAGACTAGACCTCCGCTCCTCTGTTTCTGGGCGGCGTGGGGTCGCCCAGACGTATTAAATAATAACGTTATCATGTCCGACATGAGGTCCGGAAAAATACGCGGAATGCGCCGCGGTCACGCCGAGAGACGGTCGTGTCGTAATTCGAATAATGGACCCGCTGCGCAGCCAAGCACCGGGAATACCCTCCTCAATTAACCATATTGTTGTAAGCGCATAAGGATACCATTAGGTGTCCGCGGGTTTTTGATGCCGTTCAATCCGTAGGAGCAGGGCCGCATCCACCATGAAACGTAGCGCATCCGTTCGTTGAATATGTCGAGGACGTTTTTGTGACTATTTACCCCATGTCCCCGACATATATTCAGCTTGTGGCCGCAGATCGTCGGATTGATACCGAGACGGGAGATAATTAAAACTCGTTGCTCCTGGAGAGTGAGACGGAGAGATAAAAAGTATCTCTATAATCAAAACGTTCGAGAAACGCACAACACCCTTGTGTTTCAGACCGCGAAATATGTGCTGCCGAGTCTGCGTACGAGGAGGCGGATAACTCGCCGGGACTCTTACGGAGTCTGGCGGTCGCTTAAGGTTCGCTACGGGGTTGTGGTATGATGGCGCAAAGCCATCGAGAATCGGCGTACGGTTTCACAGCAAGCCGCCGCCGTAAAGACGGCCTCCTGGCACTCCGCGATCGCCGGTTTAATCTTAACGCCCGCGGGCATAAGCGACAACCGCGATATCCGCTTTCCAAACGTGGAGAACGACCGCGAGGAGGGAGAGAGAGAAGGAGAGGAGAGAGAGAGAGAGAGAGAGCCGCGGATAAAGTGGGAAATAAGGGAATACCCGCCGAGCTTATTGCCTCGTGCGGCAACACTGATTCAATTAGCGAATGAAGACGCCTCTCGGAGGTAGACGATGATGGCGATCGAGAAACGCGACAAAAAATATTTGATGAAGAAACGAGACGCGGGCACGTCCAAGGAAGAGGGAGAGAAGTGCGAAAATAGCTGCATTTACGTTCTCCCGCGAGTTCATTTAAAATCGCCCTTCGGAAGATGTATATTCCTAGGAAATAATTGGTTAACGTTCAACAAAAAGCACTCGACCTCGCGCCTTTTTTCGATGGAAGCCATCGCGACTGTCGCTACCGCCGGCAGTCGCCGATTGATTGCAATAATAATCGAGGAAGCGCGATGCACGGTGATGCCGTAAATCGCGTCAATTTTCCATATTTCACCGTTTTCCTGCATTTATCCGCGCGAGCGTATTACCGCCAATGGCGCCCGTAATGGCGCTGCGAAATGCGTGCTGTAACTCGGCGGGAAGTAAGTTCCTTTCGAAATTACA